CTCAGTGTGGTGCCGTGACTCGGCATTTCCTGGATCCGATGTCTGGAACATGTGGGATCATTGCCCTGTATCGCAGGTTTAGGGGCGGAACAAAGGGAGAGAGGGAGGGGAAACTAGGTTAGCAGGAAATGCAGCAGCGGGAGACGTGCGACACAGAAAAGAAGTTGCACCATGTGTGCTAGGATGAGGCTGGTTCCCCTGTGGTGTCTGAGCTCTCACTGCAGACTAACTGACTGGATTTTAAACATAAATGGCCAGCAAAATGCCAGACGGGGTTCGCCAAACATCCTCCAGACACACAAGGTCAACAGGAGAGCTGCACAGAAAAGCAATAGGTTTTTTTTTCTTTCTTTTTTCCCCAGGTCCAGCTTGGCAGCTCCTGCCTTTCAAGCCTTGCAAAACAGATGTGGCTCCTTCTTAACACTAATCCCCCCTGATAAACAGACTGAATAATGTTCATTTTGTTATACTGAGGTTCAAAGTAATTTTTTTCTGTCTCTTTCGTTTTATCTGACTGATTGTGTCTATCCGCCACGTGTCATCAACTTTACAGTTTGATCCCAGGACTCTTTACGAGTCTTGTCCTGGCTTGTTTGTTACAAAGAGGCGAGGTTTTGTTAAAGACAGAAAATGTCGAGAATTTACGCCACACCCGGCTTAGGGCTTTAACAAGCTGCACACTTTGGTTGCAACTACTAATTTCCTTTACGCAGAAAGTAGCTGTGGTTGCAAAGATGAAGGCAACTGCTTCCTTTTAAACTCAACTCTGTGTCCAACATATACGTGTGTGTGTGTGTGTGTGTGTGTGTGTGTGTGTGTGTGTGTGTGTGTTTGATGGTCCAGTGTTCTCTGCGAGCCAGCCAAGGCAATATCTTGGGAGCCACTCATGTTTACTCGGCCCTTGAATAGAGGTTGTTATCAGCCCTGGTCACGTTGCGTATTCTCATTCACATGCACTCGGATGGCGTTTCACGTAGACACACTCACACGCACCCCCAAACAAGGAGCCTCTTTTTGAACGCTTTCTCTCACACGCACGCCCACGCCCTCCCCAAGTGGTCCTGTAGAAGGGCATGCCTTTGTCAGCAGATGTCAGGACGCAGGTGTGTGTTCCTGTGCCTCTCGCTCCATTCGTTTCATCCTCTTCTCCAGAGGCTGCCCATTTGTCTGTGGCCCTGTTACATTTCAGCCCAATCCAATCTACCCCCGAGAGAACGCCAGTGTGTCTGTATTACAAGAGAGGGGGTGGAAAGCACAACAACCCCCCCAGTCACTGCTACTGCTGGCGAATTGGCACAACCTTAAAGATTAGATTAGTCAGACTTGGGCCTAGAAGTCACTATGAGGTCGTCTTTAATGAGAAGAGTCTGTTTTCCACCCTTGCTTTCATTGTCTCCCGAGCCCAGCTCATTATTTCTGTGACATGGCAAAAAATTTTGCAGGAGAGGAAGAGGGGGTGGGGGGGAAAGCATTGGGCTCCATGTTTTACAAGTTCAAGGTTTTGCTAAGCAGGAAATAAAAGGTTCTTATCCAGTGAAGGGAACAAGAAGTGATAAGACTTTAAAAAGCAGTAAAAGTTGCTGGGATGTGTCATTGGCAGTTTTGCACCCTCAGCATTTTTAAATAGCATAACATGATTGGGTGACGACTGGTAAAATTCACTACCTTTGCAGTAACCCCACACACACACACACACACACACACACACACACACACACACACACCAGAGTACCTCCCAGGTCTGCTCAGAGATAGTGCAGTGGATGTAATATTAGGCTGGGCTTTCCAATTTATCCCCCCCTCCCCACTCAACGCCTCATTGCGGACGTTAATGACTTCTGCAGAGTAACCGTTTAAAGAGCGCTAAGGGAGAATGATTGGTGGGACATGTAGAGTATTTATCAAGCCTTGCAATAGGCGAGTTTGAATCCAAAGCTCAGGTGCCCACTCTCGTGTGCCTGCCCACGCTGTTCGGTAGTTCTCACTTTCAGACTTATTGTGTATAAAATTTAAATACAGGAAGCTCATAAAAATGGCACCGAGGTAATTGACGCAGCGCAGCGAGCCTTCTAGCACCGCGAACGAGCAACATCTATGTTAAGAACCACGAACGAGGACCAGACAGACATGAAGGCGTTCTAATAACAGCCGTTGACAGTATATGAAAGTAGCCGTAGGGCATTCATCCTTCTCCTCCCTCCCATCAGCCATCCCCCCCATCTGCTGTCGCTCTACTTTTTCCTCCTATTCAGGGCTGTAACCTGACAACAAAGAGAGAGATGTGTTTAGCAGGCAGGTCTTTGCTGGTTTATTCCTCCTGTCTACTGGAGCGTAGAAGTGAAAGACACTCTGTTTGTCTCTTCTGTTTGCTGTCTCCATCGTATTCTCTTCTTTTCTCCGCTCTCTGGCTCTCAGGCTGGCCCCGCAACCCCACATCTCACCATCCACCCTGCAGGCGTGAGAGAAGAGGTTGATGCTTGGCAAAGGAGGTTTTAGTCATAATGTTGGACAGGGCAAGTTTTGTCATTGTGACAGAGAGCCGCTTAGGTTTGCAGCAACATAAAGGCTTGAATTTGGGTCAAAGGGAGGCGAGCCTAAGAAGGATATACCCCCTAACTGATCAAGCTTCAACTTAATCTTTATATACCACCCTCAGAAATTAGAAAGCCATTTTAGATATTTAGCCTATTAAATCTCTAATCCTAATTCTCTTAGCCCAGTGGCTAATGGCATCTCAGTAGCCTGGGATTGTCTCCCCTCCAGCCAGTATTTGGGAGTGCAGTCAGCCCACCATTATCATTCATTTCTGAGCATGTGATGGACTTCCTTTAATTTCTCTTCTTGTCGAGTTTGCTGTATCTAAAAGTCTAGACAAAGGTTATTGAAGCACAGGCTTTTGGAGAAGTTTGGGTGAGTCACTGCCAAGTCTAGTGATGATGAGCACAGACAGACAAGGCAGCAAGAAGCAAGTAGTGCTTCATGGACAGACTGTTGTCTGGCCCACGATTGATTGGGTCACCTCAGGGAAATGGGTTCGACCTACACCGCATGCAACTTATCATTGTCCTTCAGTCAAGCTTGTGGCTCTTTCTTAAAACTGATGGGAACAAGAGATACACCTAAGGTATAGATTTACGCCACTTAACAGACTGATAGGCTGGAAAAAGTTTGCTGCTGCCTGGATTCGTCACATTGAGTCATTGCTGCTTTACTTGACTTTGTTGGGCTTAGAATTGCCTTGACTTCATTGCATCATGCACAGCATAGTTTGCAGAGTGTTCAAAATAAAACACCCCAAAAATAGTCAGTGGCACACAAGCAAAGCTGCAAATCGCACCATAGTCATCACCTGAATGCCTTTTGGGTTCCAGATCACTTGCATCCTCCCAGTGCCACAGTCTCCATGTGGCAGGAGTCCAGCTGCTGTCTTTGAGATAGCAGCTGCGTGGTGTGCGGGAGGAGGCGGATGGAGGGGGTTAAAATGTATGTCTTTAAATAATTTGTATTTCATTAAAGTTTAAAGAGTTGGGGCAGCCATGCATATTTAACCTCCTACCCTCATGACAGAAATTGAAAGCTGGTAAAGTATTGAATTACCTCGAGTGTAAAGTGAGATGCAACACTGATAGTAGTTCACACCTTACCTGCAGTGTCACGATGTGTTCCCTGCCTTATCGCAGGTGCGATTGGGTTTCAGAAAGGGAGGGCGACCGAGGCTGCTGTGAAAGACAAGTGCTCCCAATTCTCAGTCTGTGTCCATGTGGCGGCTGCCTGCCAAAAACTGCAACCCAGGAGAGATTTGTTACTTAGGAAATGCAGGCAATCATTAGGCTAGCATATGGACGGGTGTTTATTATAAAAGATGGAGTCCTATGGCAGCGGGTTTATAGGGTGGAGGGCGTACCGCTTGCAGCAATACCCATGTGTCTGCGGGGGGAAAAAAAACGAAACAAAAGAAAAACAGGCTTTCATTCTATTATTTTCTATTAATTTGTCTGACCATTGTGGCAGTCTGCGACAATGAAATGGGCCCCAGAGAAAAGAAATGGATGCAGGGAAAGTGTGAGACACGAGAGCTCATGGAGGGAGATCGAAGCGGTAATGAGACTTAGAGATTCGAGTCCCCCAGCAGCCTGCAACATTTGCCAGATACAGCTGCTTCATGCCTATCTCATTTAAGTTTCACGTACGTTTGTACAACTGTCCACAGTTGTGTATGTGTTTGCCTGTACCAATGTGACCACTTGATTAGTCAATTGCAGATGATAGGTCACACATGCATATCTGACCCCAGCAGAGGCAAATAAATCCAAGAGAGATTAGGCTCTAGTGCGCTAGTACCGCCTTCATCTGGTGGTATTACCTTATTATTAATCAGTTTAACCTATAATACACAGCGATTTCTTGTCAGCATGCCCAAGCTGCATTAACTCAGTTAGTCGACATCACACAGCAGTTGAAATCGCCCCACAGCTGCATCACAACACATAAGGCTTTCCTGCTAACTGCTGTTACCACAAATCATCTCCTATCAGTTCTCTGGAACCACTGAATATAGCGGCGTACATCAACTCATAGCTGTAGGGCTTTAACACAAACTGGCTTTTGCTTTTATTAAATTTAATCCGTTATACCCACGTGATCCTTGGCAGATTTTCAGCTATTGTGCTTAGAATTGTGTATAAAACATCACCTCAGGCTGCACACAGAATCTTTGTGTTTGCTTTTTGGGATTTTTGTTTCATCTGTCCGTGTTAAAGAAGCCGATTCGTGTGCAAGTTAAACAAATATTTTCTGAATATTTGAAGGTTCTTCCAATTCATGTGTTAACCTTTGCTGTTCAGAGCCACTGTTATTGTTTTGTTTTTGGGTTCTTTTTTTCTGTCAGCCAACTACATTACACAGCCTGACTTCTTTTATCTGTTTTTTTTTTTTTTTTTTTTTTTTTTTTTTTTTTTTAAATAAACTGTCTTCCACGCTCATCTGTTTCTCCTTCCCAGAGCTTTCCGTCAGATGAAGGGTGGCCGTTCGCCAAGTACCTGGGAGCATGTGGGCGCGTGGTAGCTGTCAACTACGTAGGTGAGGATCTGTGGAGCTTCTACAATGCGCCGTGGGAGAAGAGGGTAGACTTGGCACGCCAGCTGATGGACATTGCCGAGCAGCTCACCAACAATGACTTTGAGTTCGCCCTCTACCTGCTCGATGTCAGCTTTGACAACTTTGCGGTCGGCCCACGTGACGGAAAGGTCATCATTGTCGACGCCGAGAACGTTCTTGTGGCCGACAAAAGGCTCATCAAGCAGAGTGAGTGGCACTGCCAATAAATTTCCACACATTCACTTTGTGTGTATGTGTACACAGACATGTACATCCATAAGTCTGTGAGTAATGCCTCAGAGTCTGTCCCTACAGTTTCCATGACAATAAGTCATTGTTCGTGAACATGTATGCATTGACGCCTTTAAACACAACCACTTCATAAAGAACTGCTGCTCATCTTTACAGGGTGTTATTTACATTAGCACATAAAGCAACATGCAGAAATGATGGACCTGTCATTGATGCTTCTCTAACGTTATAACCCCCCAATAAACCATTATTTTTATTTATAACATAATTACTCGTGAATTAATCCTCCGTCGGAAAAGTTTTTCCGAAGCCTGAGTGTGATTTTAAACGCTGTCCACAGTTTGTATTTTCTAGAAAACACTGCATTTGATGTCAGAACTATACCCGCAAACTGTAGCTTATGAGGAAGTGATGAAGGTTTGAGGAAAGGCCTCAAGGGACACGCATGCTCGAAGCCTCCTCTCTTCTAAGAATATACACTCCTCCAGCACCCCTTCTGCCTCTAACGCGCACGTCCCCATCAAAGCTAAGATCGTTCGGATAACGAGCCATCTCCGCTGCCCTAGTTTTTTTTTGTTTTTTTTTTTTGCCTCTCAGAATAAACCTCATAACAAGGACAGAGATAGTTATACATCACACACTCAGTGCTGCGGTTTCCTACAATTCTGTCCCCCTTCTAGGGGCCACTACAGAGAGAGGCAAGGCCACCTAGTAAGGCTCTTAGATTTGTCCCTTCCTGCAGAAATCCTATTAAAGTGATAAACTGTTGTGTCGCTGGGTGTTGAGATTCCACCATTATGCCCTGTGACAGATAGGAGCTAGTGTGTGTGTGTGTGTGAAAGAGAAAGGGGGTGTGTATGCACTTTTTTAGCTGTAGGCGAAAGTATTGTGATGAATTTATCCTGAGATAAAGTGCCATTTTGCCAAATTACAAGATCTGACACCAGAAAACTGCAAATTGATGTACAACATGGGAAGGTACTCCAACATGCCCTGGAGTTTTTGCCCCTTGAGTTTTTCCCTCATTTGGTGCGCGATAATGCGATATGTCAATGCACCACACTAAAGTGTGTATATTTGCCTTGGTGCCAAAACCTGCAATTTTCCGCCCTGTCACAAGTAGTCCTTTTTGCAAGCCCTAAAGCACAATCCAGGTTGAGACTCCCTTGGTCTGGCCGACACATTTAGAGGTTGACATCTCAAGCTGCTTACCCTGGCTATTCAGAGTTTAAGCCCCAAGTTTATTTTCTTCTTGCATGTTTGCGCGCCTGAATCTCTTTGTGTGCGTGCCAAGTGCCGGGGCGCAGCAGGACGAAGAGGGACAACGGCGATAATGAGTATTACGAGGTCAGTGCCATGTGTTGGACAGCGGTAGGAAATAGCCACGGTAACTTCCCAAGGCCCGACAAACAGAATTCAATCCCTACAATTAGAGCCTGAGATTGAAAGCGAGCTAAGGAGTGTGATGCGAATCTCATCAGTCTAAACTAAGGCCAATTGATTTGCAAATCAAACACGCAGAAAGCCGTGTGCTGTTCCACCCTCTCATTAGGGGCATCCATATTGATGTGATGGGTTTCGGCGAGATAAAACGCATGCTATGTTGAAGTTGTGCTGTGCGCTGTGTTTGCACAGTCCAGTGGTGCGAAAGGAGCCATTCCCCATCATTGAGTTTATAGCATTTGAGGATGTTTTCACCCCTAGTGGCTTTTGGAAACACATGCTGTATAATGTAACGCACACTTCACTCACTCTCTCTTTCTCCCTGACGCCCGCTGGCTTACACACACACACACATGCAGCAGCACACACACACACCGCCGTTCTCATTCTCTTACATTCAATAATGCACTCTAACACAGGCATACATTGTTAAAACCGGCTCGTACTCTTGAATGCCACTAGTAAGGCTGCGCTAACAAGCATTTCAGGCCCAATGTCCCCTCTCAGTGCAGCCCAGTGAAGCCAGAGGTGTGAGGAGAATGTATACAAGTCAAGCCTGAGCTCCTTAACATGGAAGGTACCAGATAGGTACCAGGCAGCCTTCCTCATGTGCTGCTCTCCACTCATTTGAATTGGAAATTATTTAGTTTGTGTTGGAAATCTTCTAGCTTTGTTACACTCGAGCTTGCAGGAGGAGAGAACTGAAGGCATTGAGGTGCAAGTAAATAGACCTCGTAGTTCTTTTTAGCCTTTAGTTGAGTCTCAAAGTACTTTATTTTTTTTTCTTCTTCTTTCTTTGCTGTGCTCATCTTTGTCCTTGAGAACAAACCTATTGCTCTCGTCTTCTTTTTAGGTGTGTGTGTGTGTGTGGGTAAAAGAACAGGACATTCTCCTGATGCCATCTGTCAATCAGTGCTGAGGTGTGATGCATGGCCAGCTCCAAAACATTAATTGCTTTCACCTCACCTTGCTGCTTTGGCGTGTATGTCTTTATATGTATGCGCCTGCTTGCGGTATATGCATACGCAGGCATATCCATCTTCATCACCCACACTGATTGAGGTTGATGTGCCCCTCCTCTTCGGGGGGCCATGGAGGCCCCTTGCTAACAGGGCAGAGTTGGATGTTTGATTGAGTTGTACTGATGAGCCAGAGGAGAAGTGCATTACATCGCTGATAGACTGATTATGTGTTTGCATCCTCTGGGTCCAAACCCCACCCCCTCCCCACCATGCTATTGATCTGGCTTTTAATGCACAAACCAATAGCTCTCTCGTCATTCCAGGTTATTTTCTTGGCCCCCTTCTTTCCCAGCACAATCTTCTAAAGGGGGAAAAAAAGCAATGTCAAATGAGCTGGAGAAAGAATTTTATTTGCTCAATAAATCTGGAAAGTGGTTCATTTCTGTCAAATGAAACTGTAGATGAGTTGTTTGCCTCTGGGCTTTGAAAATAGTATTTCGCATTAGGGTCTGTGGGGTATCAAAAGTGGCACCTTGGTCTTGTCAGCTTCTGCTGAGGCTGATTTCATGGGTAATAATTTGCACAAACTAAAAAAAAAAAAATATTCTACACGGTCAGATGCGGTGGAACAGTTGACTGTAATTACCAAAGTTTCAAGTTTAGTTTTTCTCTTTAGTTTCAAAAAAACAGTTTGCTGAAAGAGAAATGCTCTTACTACACCAGGAAAGAATTCATCTAAAACTGCCTGCCTAGATCTGAGGGAGCTCTTTAGCAGAATACCCCGAATGCAAAGATTGAACCATTTTTGCGTGACTTACCCAACAACCCCCCCAGGTTTCATGTTTGTGTATCACTCTCAATAAAGGTGTAAATGCTAAAAGATTAAAAATGCTCTTGATTTTATAGCTCCAGGAGTTTCTTAAAGGTTTGCAAGGCCTACATAACCCAGCCTCACTTCATTACATTCACCTGGGGAAAAACAAAGCTTATGATCCACTAGATGCTTTTTTAAATCTGTTTTAACTAAATGCTGTTAGTACGTTTTCATAGCAGCGGATTCATTTACCTGTGTATCTGTTCTCTTGCAGACAAGCCGGAAAACTACGACGTGTGGTACGAGAGCCGGTTTGAGGAGTGCGACCGGGAGGCCTGTCTGTCTTTCTCCAAGGACTCTCTTTGTTCCAGGGTCACTGTGGACCACAACTACTATGCCATATGTCAAAACCTGCTGTCACGGTATGCTACATGGCGGGGCACCACTGGAGGTCTCCTCCACGACCCGCCTGCCCACATAGCCAAAGATGGACAACTCAAGGCTCTGTTGGACGAGTGCACCAAACCCAAAAAACGTTACGGCCGCTTTCAGGCAGCAAAGGAACTGCGCGAATACCTCACACAGCTAGCTGCCGCTTCCTCCTCTGCCATGGCCAGGTAATGAATGGAGTCGGCGTTAGTCTGACGCAATGAGAGACTGAATTCTGTATTTTTGTCTCTGGACTCTTGAGATCCTGGTTCTTGTTCATGATGTCATTTGTTCTCCTTTATGCTTTGGAGCTGGAAGGTGTTAGCTCTTGCATCAGGAAGGGTAAGAATCAAACTTCAAAGCTGATTTCTCAAAGCTGTAGCTTTTACCTTACTTTGCTCCTGTGTAAAAGAGGAATGTGGCGCTATAAAATTCTGGTTAGAACCAGGATGGAGAGGGAATTGAGGTAAATTCTCCCCACCCAGGGTGGGCTGCCATCTCTGGGGGATGGGAAGATGAGAAAGGGCTCTGGTAAACGCATCCTTCACTGGACACAGGCTTACACAAACCAGAGCGTCCAAGCGGCCGCGGCAACATGACATAGCACCGACCACGTCGATCCTCCTGCCATTCCTCAGTCCATCCGAACTGTTGTGTTTGATCGTAAGACTAATTTCTCTTGTTTAAATTTGCTGTTCTTTTCAAAACTGAATCCAAGTTTAAGTTTTTCTTTTATTTTTTTCCTTCCTTTTTTTTGCTGTGCCATGGCTTTGCCCCCCTCTGTAGCATTGCTGCAGAGAAGGTGGAAGTAGCATGAATCTGCCGTCTGGCAACAGAAAAGGCCAGGCTGCATCAAGTTTAGATGATAAACAGAAAGTTTGGAGTTTTCATTTTCATGCAGGACGAAAGGAAAACCCTTGATGTCTGTAGAAGTATAATTCCCTGCTATTCCAAACAATCACCTGATCTCAAAGTTATAGAATTGATGCAATCATCCCCCCCCCCCAAATCTTTCCCTTTTAATGGGACCAGTGAGCTTGAGACAGCTGTTTTTAGGAAAAAGAAGATACAAATTGGACATTGGTGGGTCTCTTGATGCAGATTTGCCTATACCAAAGACGCTAGTTGTAAAATTAGGAATTCTAAGCAGTACAGAGAGTTATATTTTTGGTTCCCCACCAGAGCTGTCCAGAAAAACTTTAATGTGTACACACATCTTATGTGAGCTGTCAGGCCTGCATACTGATTCTCCTCTCCTAAGAACCAAAACTCTAGGCAGATCTAAGGCATAAATTAGCCGTATTAAATGTCACAAAACCCCCTCTGCTTTGTTAGCATCTTGATAGGATAAATCTTTTTTTTCCAAACTTGATAAAAGTGAATAGTAGTGGCCTCTTCTTTCAGATTCTGTTTTTGGTTTTTTGGGTTTTTTTTTTTTTTTAAATATCTGTAATTATAAATGAATTCTTCTGTGCTATGCTCCCACTAATGTTGACTTCAGTAAGCTCCATCTAGCCAACGGTATAAAAAGCAATGAAGATAACCAAATTACTTCTTTGCTCCAGAAATGGCTTCTGACCTGCACTTTTTGAATCCCAGAAATGTCTGCTGAATATTTAAACACTCGGCACCACTTAGAGGTTGGGTTGATTTTACACTTGGTGGGCCAACAAATTAAAGCGTAATGAGCGCAGGATCAGCTGGTAATGCATTGTGAGAGATCTTTCTTTAAAAAAAAAAAAAAAAAAAAAAATCAAATAAACCCGTCTCTGGCTCCATATGTTTTATATGTCAACTGTTTTGATGTTGTGAATCAGATGCCCAGTGGAGTGTTGTGTAGCACAGTCAACAGACAGGCGAATAATCAAAAGTGAGCCACTCCACCTGTGGGGAAAGGAGAAAGCACAGCAGTTTTTGTTTGTTTTTGTTTGTTTATTTTTTGGCCTTCTCTGAGACCTGGAGAGCTGATGTGACCTTTTGCCAGTTTGGAAAAGCAATAAAGACAAGTTTGGCTAATGGATTTTTGTTTCTGAACCCCCTTCTCTTTTGTTGTGTCAGCTGTATTTCTGTTTCCCCGAGTCTGGAGGATGGTCAACTTGGAAGGATTTGTTCATGCGTAACTAACTGTCCTCTTTTTGTACTGTAATATATTTTTTTCTTTTGAGTATTATATCAGCATTGTCTGATTTTTCCTGTGCCTTTCATTCAAAAGTTGTATTTACAACTTTTAGTGGGTTTAAATATTAAAATAAATGAAGATCTATATATAGATATATACACACTTATGCTCTGCGTGGCCTCTCTTTGATTCTGCCTTAATTTTCCTTTCATTATTTCCCATCTATTTATCTTGCAGGTGATTTGGCTGTGGCTCATATTGAATTTTTTTTATTTTATTTTATTTTAAATTTGATTCACTGTGGCACAGCTGGATATCGGTGTTTGCCAATTCCCTTTCCTTTTTTCTCATTCCTCCTTCTTGGTTTTGATCTTTCCTTTTGTTGTGCTCTCCACTCAACTGCGGATGCAAATCCTCGTCTTTTATCTACGTTTGAATAGATTGTTTTTGAAATAGTTTACTATCGCTACGAATTCTTTTGTGAAACGTTTATAAGGACGTTAGATTGCTCAAAATAAGCCATTCATGGAGGAGGGCTGTACTTGTTTAAATACATGACACAGAATTTTCAAATATACTCATCACCACTTGGAGTTGTTAGTTTTTTATTTTTATCATAAGTCTCTCCTCCTCATTGTATTTGTGTGTAGTATATTTTTAGTGTGTGTGTGAGTGTGGTTTTTGCTAATTCAATAGCTCTTCTGAGTCTCTGTCTATCTTGAGCCTGCTCATGCTTGTAGCATAAAAGCCTGTGGTGGAACAAAGTAGTGCTCGAGCCATAACCAAAATTAGAAGCTACATGACTGACACTCTTTGCCACTCTTCCTCTTCCTCTCTCTCTCTTTCTTTATTTCTTCACGGTCATTTTTCCACCTCTTCCCTTCTCCTTCTCCTCTGTAATTGTGCTTCTCTTTGACACACCCGCTGGTTTGTGTGGAGAGCTGATGTCACACTCATTGTGGTGAAGTGCTGTTTAGCCCTCCGTGCTGTAGCTACACTTAGTCCAGCTGATGAATGGCTCCGGGGTTGGCTGGCTATAAGAAAACACCACAGAAAATGAATGGGGCACCAGGCGCTCAACTGCTGCCCCTCTTAAGTTTAAATAAACATGAGGCCATTTCAGCATGCAGCCACCAGGGATTCTAGACACTGGACATGGAGAGGAGGAAGGTGGTCGTGTCGGAGGGGGGAAATTGAAACAATATGGTTTTGCAGAAAAAGCAAACTTCTTGTCCTCCCAACTACAGCAAATAAATAAAACCCTCACTG